CCAACCCCATTCGGGGCCTCCAGACGTGTAAAATTCGTCCCGTCGACGGCCCCACATGCCCCCGGACTCGTTCGGGGGTGGCCCCGAAGAGCCTCGACCCCGCCCACCCAAAGAAACAAGACAACACAAGTACGCCCCAGGATAGCAACACAACATCCCCAAGCCGATCAAGGGGTCGGCGGAAGTGGCGGAAGCCTATAGAATCTATATATACATATATATATATAGAGATATGCGAAAGTGAAACTGCTTCTGTCGCAGACTCGACGCACATCTCAACTTTGGAGCCCAACCTTTCTGCACTCGATCTTCTACTCGAGATATTTGCTGGCGAGCTCGGGGGGGAAGTGAGAAGGGGCGGGCCTTCCCAGAAAACTCGGAAACCCCTGGCCTCCTGAGAAATGTCCTAAGCCTGCACCGCAAAAGGCACGGAAAACCTCCCTGACGGCCGGAAGGTTTCCGAGAAGCCCCACCCTCCCAGACCCCGGACGTCGTGACTTTTTCGCAGCGCCGACCCCCAAAGATCTGGACCCCTTCCCGGGGGCCAGATTTCCATCCTGAGTCGTTTTTACCTAACAGCGAAGACTGATAATTAGGTTTCTAGTGGTCTCAAAAGAGAGCAGCAGATGACTCCACAGGGGGGTCTGGGCGGGTGCCGGACAGGGTGCCGCAGAAGTCGTTTTAAGCCAACAGTCACACACTTCGTGCTCTTCGACCTCCCAGAACTCCATTCCCGGGCCACATTCTGAATGCCCGGAGCCAACTGTAGGCCACTTCGTGCTCTTCGACTTCCCAGAACTCCATTCCCGGGCCACATTTTGAATGCCCGGAGCCAACTGTAGGCCACTTCGTGCTCTTCGAGTCCCCAGAACTCCATTCCCGGGCCACATTTTGAATGCCCGGAGCCCACTGTAGGCCACTTCGTGTCTTCGAGTTCCCAGAACTCCATTCCCGGGCCACATTTTGAATGCCCGGAGCCAACTGTAGGCCACTTCGTGCTCTTCGATTCCCCAGAACTCCATTCCCGGGCCACATTTTGAATGCCTGGAGCCAACTGTAGGCCACTTCGTGCTCTTCAAGTTCCCAGAACTCCATTCCTGGGCATGATTTTGAATGCCCGGAGCCAACTGTAGGCCACTTCGTGTTCTTCTAGTTCCCAGAACTCCATTCCTGGGCCACATTTTGACTGCTGAGGCAGGCTGATGCTGCGGCCGAGGCAGGCTGAGGCTGAGGCAGGCTGAGGCTGAGGCCGAGGCTGAAGGCAGACTGAGGCTGAGGCTGAAGCAGGCTGAGGCTGAGGCTGAGGCAGGCTGAGGCTGAGGCTGAGGCAGGCTGATGCTGAGGCAGGCTGAGGCTGAGGCTGAGGCTGATGCAGGCTGAGGCTGAGGCAGGCTGAGGCTGAGGCCGAGGCTGAAGGCAGACTGAGGCTGAGGCTGAAGCAGGCTGAGGCTGAGGCTGAGGCAGGCTGAGGCTGAGGCAGGCTGAGGCTGAGGCTGAGGCAGGCTGAGGCTGAGGCTGTGACTGCGACTGCCGTTGCCGCTGCGACTGTCATCGCGAATGCGACTACGACTGCGAGAACAGCAGAATTCTACAACTGGATTTTCATCTGAATCTTAAGGGGAATGCTTTCAGATATGCTTCTACACATCGCTGTTAGGTTGCTTTGCCGGGATAATTACCTAACAGCTTGTTCTGATAGGTTTCTAGTGGGGTCAAAAGAGAGCAGCAAATGACTCCACAGGGGGGTCTGGGCGGGTGCCGGACAGGGTGCCGCAGAAGTCGTTTTAAGCCAACAGTCACACACTTCGTGCTCTTCGACCTCCCAGAACTCCATTCCCGGGCCACATTCTGAATGCCCGGAGCCAACTGTAGGCCACTTCGTGCTCTTCGACTTCCCAGAATCCATTCCCGGGCCACATTTTGAATGCCCGGAGCCAACTGTAGGCCACTTCGTGCTCTTCGAGTCCCCAGAATTCGGGCCACATTCCCGGAGCCAACTGTAGGCCACTTCGTGCTCTTCGAGTTCCCAGAACTCCATTCCCGGGCCACATTTTGAATGCCCGGAGCCAACTGTAGGCCACTTCGTGCTCTTCGACTTCCCAGAACTCCATTCCCGGGCCACATTTTGGATGCCCGGAGCCAACTGTAGGCCACTTCGTGGTCTTCGAGTTCCCAGAACTCCATTCCCGGGCCACATCCCGGAGCCAACTGTAGGCCACTTCGTGTCTTCGAAGAACTGGGCCACATTTTGGATGCCAGCCAACTGTAGGCCACTTCGTGGTCTTCGAGTTCCCAGAACTCCATTCCTGGGCATGATTTTGAATGCCCGGAGCCAACTGTAGGCCACTTCGTGTTCTTCCAGTTCCCAGAACTCCATTCCCGGGCCACATTTTGAATGCTGAGGCAGGCTGATGCTGAGGCAGGCTGAGGCTGAGGCAGGCTGAGGCTGAGGCCGAGGCTGAAGGCAGACTGAGGCTGAGGCTGAAGCAGGCTGAGGCTGAGGCTGAGGCAGGCTGAGGCTGAGGCTGAGGCAGGCTGAGGCTGAGGCTGAGGCTGAGGCTGAGGCTGAGGCTGAGGCAGGCTGAGGCTGAGGCTGTGAGGCTGAGGCTGAGGCTGAGGCTGAGGCTGAGGCGTGAGGCTGAGGCACTGCGACTGTCATCGCGAATGCGACTACGACTGCGAGAACAGCAGAATTCTACAACTGGATTCTCATCTGAATCTTAAGGGGAATGCTTCCAGATATGCTCCTACACATCGCTGTTAGGTTGCTTTGCCGGGATAATTTTGACCTGAAGAGAAAAAACGGCATAAACATAAACTTTTGGCGCTACGTGCGGACTTCGATAATCTGCGCTGGACCCCCCTCCCCCTGGCGCGCGGAGCGCGCCAGGGGCGGCGCCGGAGGCGCCGCCAGGGGGGCCCAGCGCGGATCCAAGAAATCCGCGCGGTCAGCCACCAAAGGTTTGTGTTTACGCTTTTTGTTCTTCTTCGATGGCAGCCCCGAGGCCCAGCGAGGGCCCCCGAAGGCCCGACACAGCGAAAAACCTCCCGTCGCGCTTTGCTCGCAGCGCGAGAAGGGCCTCTGGCCTCGCTCGCCGCCGAGGAGGTGCGCCAGCGGGCCGCTAACGGATGTGGGGCCCAGCGTGGGGCAGCTCGCTGAGGGCGATTTGACGAACATTCTAATCCGAATCTGATGATCAGAGGGGGGCGGTCTGATTTGGGGGAGGGTCTGCTCTGGGCTGTCTCGGAGGGTCCCCGGGGGGTCTGCGCAACAGGCCGCCCGTTCGTGGCCAGACTGGGGGGTGGTCTGAGCCTGCTCGCCTGGGGGGCGATTCGGTGGATCTCGGGGGTGACCCAGGAGAGCCCAGCGTCGAATCGGCAAGCCGGATCGGCGATCGAAAGGAATCGGATCGGCGGAAGTCGGCAGCCAAGTCGGGGGAGAAGCCGAGTCGGCGGAAATCGGCAGGCTAGTAACGAGTAGGCCTCCATGGAGAGATCGGAGCCCACATCGGAATCCGAAGTCGAACCGAATCGGAATCGGAGGCCATCATAATCGGATCGGATCGGAATCGGAGGAATCGGGTAAAACGGCTACAGTCGAAACGTGTACTGAGGACGGGTGGCAATGACGCGAGACCCCTGGAGGCCGAACGTGGGACTCTCCTGGGCGGCGAGCGACCCACACCCCAATGGCAGAGGCAAGGGACGGGCCGCAGAGGCGGGGACACAAGGGCACCTATAGAGTTGGGTTGGGCGCGTCCTCCTACAGGGGGATTTCGGGCGAACAATAACAAATAGTCAAACAATGCTCCAACATTGTTTATACATATATATATATATAAATTAGTTACCCAACAGCGAAGACTGATAGGTTTCTAGTAGTCTCAAAAGAGAGCAGCAGATGACTCCACAGGGGGGTCTGGGCGGGTGCCGGACAGGGTGCCGCAGAAGTCGTTTTAAACCAACCGTCACACACTTTGTGCTCTTCGACCTCCCAGAACTCCATTCCCGGGCCACATTCTGAATGCCCGGAGCCAACTGTAGGCCACTTCGTGCTCTTCGACTTCCCAGAACTCCATTCCCGGGCCACATTTTGAATGCCCGGAGCCAACTGTAGGCCACTTCGTGCTCTTCGAGTCCCCAGAACTCCATTCCCGGGCCACATTTTGAATGCCCGGAGCCAACTGTAGGCCACTTCGTGCTTTTCGATTCCCCAGAACTCCATTCCCGGGCCACATTTTGAATGCCCGGAGCCAACTGTAGGCCACTTCGTGCTCTTCGATTCCCAGAACTCCATTCCCGGGCCACATTTTGAATGCCCGGAGCCAACTGTAGGCCACTTCGTGCTCTTCAAGTTCCCAGAACTCCATTCCTGGGCATGATTTTGAATGCCCGGAGCCAACTGTAGGCCACTTCGTGTTCTTCTAGTTCCCAGAACTCCATTCCTGGGCCACATTTTGAATGCTGAGGCAGGCTGATGCTGCGGCCGAGGCAGGCTGAGGCTGAGGCAGGCTGAGGCTGAGGCCGAGGCTGAAGGCAGACTGAGGCTGAGGCTGAAGCAAACTGAGGCTGAGGCTGAGGCAGGCTGAGGCTGAGGCTGAAGCAGGCTGATGCTGAGGCAGGCTGAGGCTGAGGCTGAGGCTGATGCAGGCTGAGGCTGAGGCAGGCTGAGGCTGAGGCCGAGGCTGAAGGCAGACTGAGGCTGAGGCTGAAGCAGGCTGAGGCTGAGGCTGAGGCAGGCTGAGGCTGAGGCAGGCTGAGGCTGAGGCAGGCTGAGGCTGAGGCTGTGACTGCGACTGCCGTTGCCGCTGCGACTGTCATCGCGAATGCGACTACGACTGCGAGAACAGCAGAATTCTACAACTGGATTTTCGTCTGAATCTTAAGGGGAATGCTTTCATATATGCTTCTACACATCGCTGTTAGGTTGCTTTACCGGAATAATTATTTTTTAAAACAAAAAACAAAAACAAAAAAACGAACAATCGTCCCCACACTACCTTTTGGCTGTTTTGACAGATTCCTCCTGCAGAGGGACGTCCCCGACCTTACCCTAGAGCAGGCGCGCGCCCTCACTGTGCGCCCTGACTGGAATGGGGCCGAGGCGTGTGTGGGCGGCGGCCGGCGCCCCGGGCGCCATTGGGCGACGGGAGGGCGCGGCGGCAGGCCCGCCGCCTTGGAGCAAGGCCGTGGCGCCAGCGGGGCCCCAGCGCGGACTCGACGAGGAACAAATACATGGAGGGGTAAGTTGAGGGGCCCGTTTTCCGCCACCGCTGCCATGGGCAGGGAGAGGGAGGCGGGGGAGGCGGAGGAGGAGGAGGAGGAGAAAGATGAGGAGGACCTCCCCATCCTCCCTTCTCCCCCGTCCTACCTTCAGCAGTGGTCGTGGCGCATTGGCCCATCAGAAGTCCGTGCCGTAGTCGATCTCCGATTCGAAGTTCGGGGCCCAGGGCCCAGGATCCGCCACTGGGCGGGGAGGGCGCGGCGGCATACCGCGCCGCGGTGAGCGGGGCCGTGGCGCCGGCGGCCTCTTCGCGAAGGGCATCGGCCACAGCATCGACGTGCCCCAAAAATTGATGAAAGCTTCGTCGGCTCTGCGACAGCAAACGTATAACGTTCGCAGATATACGAACATGTTCGTGGATCTGCAAAAGTGATATGTTTTCTGTCGTAGATTCGACGAACATTTCAACTTTGGAGTCGGCGTGCCCCAAAAATTCAAATGTTCGTCGGATCTGCGACAAGCACGGTCGGACCCAGGCCAGAAGAACATCCTTCAGGAACGTGAAAGGTTCGTCGGCTCTACGACAGAAAACGTATCGCGTGTGCAGATATACGAACATGCTACGCATGCTTCGCAGGCTCGACGAACCAGAAATCAATGTTGGGGTACATCGATGCTGTAGTCGATCTCCTGTTCGAATTTCAGGGTCCAGGGCCCTGGATTGGCCCCGAGGCGGTCTCGCCGTCGGTGCTCCTCCACAGTCGGAGCCAGGCCAGAAGAACATCCCTCAAGAACATGAGAAGCTCCGCCGCCAAAACAAACAGGACATCCCAAGGGTACCATCCCCAGGATGCACAAGAGCATCCAACAAGCACAAAGAAGACGAGGGAGGCCCTCCCCGAACCGACCTCGATCTGATACCTCGCAAACTCAAATTAACACTGGGAGTACACTCCCCGAACCGACCTCGATCTGATACCTCGGTCCGACTGTACGTAGAATGCACGTAGACCTGCGAACATTCTAATCCGAATCTGATGATCAGAGGGGGGCGGTCTGATTTGGGGGAGGGTCTGCTCTGGGCTGTCTCGGAGGGTCCCCGGGGGGTCTGCGCAACAGGCCGCCCGTTCGTGGCCAGACTGGGGGGTGGTCTGAGCCTGCTCGCCTGGGGGGCGATTCGGTGGATCTCGGGGGTGACCCAGGAGAGCCCAGCGTCGAATCGGCAAGCCGGATCGGCGATCGAAAGGAATCGGATCGGCGGAAGTCGGCAGCCAAGTCGGGGGAGAAGCCGAGTCGGCGGAAATCGGCAGGCTGGCAACGAGTAGGCCTCCATGGAGAGATCGGAGCCCACATCGGAGCCCCCGGAGCCGAATCGCTTCGGGATCGGAGGCCACCGAAATCGAATCGGATCGGAACCGGAGGAAGCGAACCGAGCCCCTGGCCCTGGGGCCGGCCCCCCTCCGAGGCCTCCGCGGCCGCCGCGCAGCGCCCGGGTGCTGCAGCGTGCGGCGCCCTGCCCCTGGCGCCGCAGCGGCCGGCGCAGGTCGCGCGCCCGAGCCCCCCGCGCGGCGCCCCGCGGGGAGGCCAGGCGGCGCCCCTGGCCGCCGTCGCGGGCTGTGCGCGGCGGGGGCCCCCTCCGAAGGCGTGGGCCCCCAGAGAGGCCAGCGGCTCGCTGCGGGGCGTCTCGAGGAAGAAAGCACGGCATGCATCTGCCCGTCGGCGGCGAGGCAGAGTGGGCTGCACCAGCGGTAGAGCTCAACGGGGGCCCCGAGAAGCGAGCTGGCCAGCGTGCAGGAGAAGGAAGAGGACGGACAGGGCGGCCGCGGAAGGGGGGAGAGGCGGGGTCACTCAGAGGCGGAAGACTTCCGTCCCGAGTGTGCTGGCGCGGCTGGCCCCGTCAGCGGGGACCACGGCAGCAGCCGGGCCGCAGCGCCGGGGCACTATAAAGACACGGCACTAAAAAAACACGGCACTGAAAAAACACGGCGGGAGAAGGATGCAGTGGCCTTGGACGACTGTCTCGAAGCTCTTCGAGCGGGGCGTGGCCAACAAAAGCGGCCAAGGATGGACCGAGGAGGCGAGGATGCAAGGGAACCCTTGGGAAAATTGCCCACCCTTGCTGTGCGGGCTGACTGTAAACAGAAACTTGTGGAGGTCCGCGCGGATTTCTTGGATCTGGAGCGCGCCAGGGGCGGCCGCCAGAGGCGCCACCAGGGGGCCCTGGCGCGGATCCAAGAAGTCCGCGCGGAGCGCCAAAAGCTTATGCTTACGGCGTTGTTTCTCCCTCGAGTGTCTCCGCGAGTGGCCCCGAGGGGCGCGTGCAGGGCGAGGCGCCGCGGTTGGGGAGGGGAGCCAAGCCGCCGCGAACGCATGAACACGGACACCCTCCGACGAGCTCCGAGCTCCGCGCGCACCTCCGCGGGGGGGCTGGGGGGGGGGGGCGGCAGATCCGCCGACCCCCGCTTGCTGGAGGTGAGGAGGCGTGCGAGATGATGGGCTGTCCTCGTTCCCGCTCCCCCAGGGTCCAAAATCTCGTTTGACAGGGGGGGCGCGAGCTCCTCGGCGCCTCCCTGGAGACTCCAGAGCTTCCAAATCTGCCTTCTGCGGCCTCGAAGACGCGCCAAGAGAGTCCCGAATCGCTCAGCGATTGGCCCAAGGCCCCAAGAGAGGCCCAAGAGCCTTCCCAAGAAGGCCCCGCGAGACAAAAATCTATGGTTTTTGAAACTATTGTTGTACCGAGCCTCCGACGCTCCAAGACGGCCCAAGAGGCCCCGTAGACCGCCCCAAAACTACCCAAGAGGCCTCTACGAGAGCCCCAGGACGGCCCAAGAGGGTTCCAAGACTGCTCCAATTGGGGCAGTCGTGGAACCCTCTTAAGAGGGGCCCAAAACGGCAAAAAGATCGCCCCAAGAGGGCCCCAATAGAGGTCACGAAGGAGAACACGAACCGAAAATCCTACCGTTCCGCCCCAAGGGGCCCCCGAAAGCCCCAAAAGGCCCCCAAGCGGCCCAAAAGAGGCCCCCAATAAGCCCCAAGAGGCCCCAAAGAGGCAAAATTAACCCCAAGACGCTTCAAAACTGCTCCAAGAGGCTCAACCAAGCCCCCAAACAGTTCCCACGACGCCCACAAGAGTCCCCAAATCCGCCGACCCTGTCGGCGTGTGGACCCCCTGTCAGCGTGCGCTCAGTCGACGCATCCGTTGTCCTCTTTCCCTGCGTCTCCGTCGTCCCCTTTCCCTGCACCCTCCTATTCAAGCCTGCCAGCGAGAGAAAACCCTGGCAACGTCGTACTTAAGTCGAAGGGGAGCCCCTTCCCTCCCCGCCGAGGGGGGGGGTCCCGAGGGGTCCCGGGGGGATCCTGGGGGGGGAGGTCAGATACGCTTTCGCCCCTGGGCGTCCCGGAGCCCCAAAAAGCGCCAAGAGGGCCCCAAGCACGCCCAATAAGAGGACCACGAACCGACATTTTGAGCTTCCGGCCCCAAACAGCCCCCAGAAGGCCCCAAGAGCCCCTCAAGGGGCCCGAAGAGGCCCCCAAGAGACCCCCAAGAGGCCCAACAGAGGCCCCAACAGGCCCGAAAACATCCAAGAGGCCTTTCGAGCACAACCCCAGTACGGTGGCGGGAAGGGCCGCAGGCCTCAAGGCTCACTGTCTGTCTCTGCTACGACTCCCTCGGTCCACATGGGGAACATCTCCTTCGCCTTCTCCTGCTCCCTTCCACCTTAATCCCCCTCCTCCTACTCCTCCTCGTATTCGTATTCGTCGTCGTCTTCAGGGTCGGCGGCACCGGCTGTAAGGCCTTAGCAATAGTGCCCAAGAAGCCCACGACGCCTCAACCCTGGACTCTTCTGGGGTCGGCGGAATGGCCGTAACCCTCTTGAATAAAGTCGCCGGCTCTCGAAGGGTGACTGAACACACCGCCACCCTCCCCTGAGGCCCCGGAGCAATCCATTGGAGGGTGTCCGTGCATATTTTTTGCGGCGGAGCCAGGCTGCCGCGGGTAGCCGCCAGCGTTGGCGCGGGCGCCTGGGCCCAGACGCTGGGGAGCCAAAACGGCCACGGAGGCAGAAGGCACGCCGATCTCCGAGCGGGGGGGGGGCGAGCCGCTCCCGCAAGTCCCCGGGGCTCCCCCTGGAGGCGCCCGGGAGGCCCCTGAGGTCCCAGGAAAGTTCCAGGGCATCGCCTGGAGGCCCCAGGGCACGTGACCGGCACAGCCAACCCGTGAAGGGAATGCAGGGGCCTTGGAAGGCCATGTTGACACTTTGCGAGCGGGGCGCGGCCAACGAAAGCGGCAAAGGATGGACCGAGGAGGCAAGGATGCAAGGGTACCCTTGGGAAGATTGCTCATCCTTATTGTGCGGGTTGACTGTACGAGTGGGCCGTGCCATTTCATCCTCCATCATCCTCTTGACAGCGTGACACCAAGCAGAAGGCCTGCTGGTTGTCTAGCATGGGATCCTGTAGTCAGTAGACCGCTCTCCCCATCCCTCAGACTTCCATGCCAGGGCCCTTTTCGGCATCGAGACGGATCCAAGACGGCCCCCAACAGCTGCAATGTTCTCCGCGACCCGCCCAAGGCCCACCGACCGCCCAGATGCTCCAAAGATACCTGCAAGAAGCTCCAGGAGGCCCCACAACGACCCGAGCTACCCAGCAAGCCTCTGGGATGCCAAAAACAATGAGAAGCATCTTTTCCGTTGCCACCACATCTGTCCAAGATGGCCTTCAGGTCTCTGAGAACCCGAAGACGGCGTCCAACACTGACAGGTCGATGAGTTCGTGTCCAGACGGGCAGCCTGGGGGCGTGCAGGACCGATGGGGCACGATATCGCAGCCCACCCAGGCGCCAGGAAACCCTGGCAAGGCCCTTGGAAAATCTTAGAAAAATCTTGGGGCGTCATGGACACGATGGAGACGAGAAAGTCGGAATGGACAAAACATGACTTTGAACATGGATACGCTTCACTGATTTTGACCTTTGCGGCCGACTCTGCGGACCTCCAGGACGGCCGCACTGGGCTCCAGGAGGGCTCCGCACTCTCCGCCCGAGACCGCCTGGGGCTCCCATGCACATCCCGGGCAGTTGGTTGGGCACCTGGGATCGGAGGTCCCAGTTGGGGCAGTCGTGGCTTCTGGGCGGCCTCTTGGCGACTCTCTGGGAGAGGTTTCGAATGTATGTCGTCCCCCTGTGTGTCATACCTCCTGTCCTTCTCCTCCTCCTAGTGGCCTGTTACCCACCTTCTCCTCTCGATTTGGACGGTGTTCCCATGAGCTCACTGATTTTGGCCTGCAGAGCAGGCCTCTCCAGCCTCCAGGACGTCCCCAAAGGGCTCCAGGAGAGCTCAACACGCACTCTTCGGACATGGTCTACTACAGAGAGCCCGGGAAACTGTACGCCAACGCGCCCAAGATGCCTTCACATGGCCTCCAAGACGGCCAAAGATGGTTCCTGATGGCCTCAGAAAAGCGTCAAGATTGCCAAAAGATGGCACCAGAAGGGTCAACCTTTGACCCAAGAGAGTCTCTTAGAGACTCGCTTGGGGGTCTCTCGGGCCGTCTTGGGGGCTCTGGCCAGTCACTTGCATACGTGTCACATCCGCCAGGATCATCACGATCATCGTAATGCACCAACGCAGGAAGCAAGTTTGGAGTGGGCGCTGGCGACGATGGCGGAGCCCGCGTTGGTGGCTGAGCCCATCATTGGTTGCACCCTGCGCACACTGGCTCTACTAGGTAAACGACTCCATCAAAGGTATTCGCATCGCCGTAAGGGCAGTTACCCCCAACAATCACACCGTCGGAGCCCAGCCGATCACTTGCAAACATGGTAGATCCGTCAGGCTCATCAGCACAATCAGAATCTAGCCACAGGTCCAAGCATGCTCCAACGCAGAAAAGAGCAAGTCTGGATTGACGCTGGAGTAAGGAACGCCGTCGCACTCGTCGTCGTGCGCCGCCAAACGCGTCGTCCAATACGTCCGTCTGGACCCTTACCTCAAGACCAGCCCCAACATCTCTATCTGGATTCCCCTCGTCCAGATACAGTAGGAGCTCGACCACAAGAAACCCAACTCTGAGACCCCATGACGTCGCAAAACCATCGAAACCCAAGAAAAACCCAGGGCACCCTGGAGGCAAGCAAGATGTTTCTTGGCACGGGTCGCCCATGTACGTCAAGACCCACCACCGCCTCTCTATATCTGGACACCCGTCCAGGCCCCCGTCCACGTCCAGGCCCCCCGGTCCAGGCCCGTCGTCGTCGTCGTCGTCGTCGCCGCCGTCGTCGTCGTCGTCGTCGTCGTGGTCGTGGTCGTGGTCGTGGTCGTGGTCGTGGTCGTGGTCGTGGTCGTGGTCGTCGTCGTGGTCGTCGTCGTGGTCGTCGTTGTCCAGATGCTCCCCCCGTCCAGGACCCCCCGCCCTGCACGGTTTCCCCCGGGGCCGTAGGCGACCCGAGGAGGAGGAGGAGGAGGAGGAGGAGGAGGAGGAGGAGGAGGAGGAGGAGAAAGAGGAGGAGGA